AACAGCCAGGAAAGTACACACAAAAGATAATACAAATATTAACTTATGGGCTGGAATTATTGTGGGAATATCTGAAGGTAAAAGTTTCATAATATGCAATAGATACGGAGGTGAACAACCTTCACAGAGCTTTCTAATTATTAAAATTCACTGTTTTATTACTCTCATGCACCTTGGCAAAAGAAACATTTCTGATGAAGGGATCTAAAAAAAAACAGTATTAACCTTTATCTTACTAGCGTTCCTTGTCGGGGACGTAAGTTGAGTACTCAGCCCTACGAACGTAAATACTTGCAATACTGTAAGCTAAGTGACTATCAGCTTATTCAAAAGATTGCTACATGGAGTTTATTAGGTACAAGATGCATTGATAAGAGCAATTCCCATTCAAACATGTTTCTTTTTCCAAAAATTAGTTTTGCAACTGGCGATGGCTTCCTTGGGTTCATTTCATGCAATCAAAAGTCAAATGAAACCTGGGATATGGTACCACACACAAAAATATGTTGACACAAAAGTTTTTGTTCTGATAAAATTAGAACGGCCACAATGCTGTTTAGAAGTCCTGCACCTATAACTCGTAAATCAGGGAAAAAATAAAATAACTTCAAAAATTGCAATACTATGACTCGTTAAAAATAAATAATCTTGATGCCACAAGGTACAAGAGAAACGTAACTGGTAATTACTGCTATATCAAAACAACAGCGACATTTTTAACCTCATTAGTTTTGCCATGTTTGCCCGAGACTACACAAGAAACTGCAGACTACGGCTTCTAAAGCCCTTGCAATTTGCAGCTTTGTGGCCTTCTAATAAATCATGTTACTTGACAAATTTTTTTTTGCATTAATTGAAGTTCCACAAAACAAATGTGTGAAATTACTTGTCATTTATTTCTTTGTCTAAAAAATCTACACACCAATCCACTATTAGAACATTTACGCACTTGTGCACAATTCTAAAACCTAACAGCTATTTAAATCACAATGAAGCCACTACGTCCCATCTTTTCTACTCTATAAACAAAAAATCTGATGCAACCGACACGTAAGAAAACAGACTAAATAACGAGGACATATGCCTAACGTACCATTAACCGGTGGCTGATTGGAGGGGGAAGGGCCCCAGTGCCCTGAAATCACATAATGCAGCCATATTCATAATTTGGTGACAGTCATTTTTATTCTACAAACTATTGCTTAACTCCATCAATTTTCACACAATGCTATGATTTAACCTTTATCGTAGGGACACAGAAGATTTAAACTCCCAAACTATGGGGCTGCAGGGGTGTCACAGTTTAATGGTGTGTCAGCCAGAAGGATCACATCTAAATTCTGCATGGTCGATAAAGGTTAAATGAAACAACTTAATTTACGCTGAATATTTCAATTATACTCTTAATGTCATATGAAGGCAAGTACAAACCTGGGTAGCCTGTTGTTTGTGGTGGAGTGCCCCAGCCTTGATAACCTTGCATCATGTTGCCAGGAGGTCCCATTGGTCCCATAGGGCCACCCATTGGACCACCCATCTGCCCATTAGGACCACCCATGCCCATACCCTGCAACAGTGACAATTACACTACAGGTAACCCTCGATTTGTGCCAGTTCAATTTGCGCCGATTTTGAAACCAACACGTCAAAAAGTGGAAAAAATATATTTTACTATTATTTATAACGTTTTACAATGTATCTCGTACCGATTCTTATGCTAAATCGTAATTCTTGCATCGCTGATTTTGAATAAAAATTATAAACGCAGTCATCTCTGCAATTACGTATGTTTCGTTAACCCGAATTTGCTCCAATGAGATCGATGGATCGGTAAAAGATGTTTGTGAAACGCAAACTTTTGTATATGCGAGTTTGCTCTTACGCAATTTCATTCCTGGCGCTTTAAACTTTCAAAGGACTAATTTAATCTCTGCGGAGGTACCGGGGTTATTTTTACTACGCAATTTACTATGGGTCGGCGTCTTACATGAATTCAAGTATCACATAACAGCAGAGATGACTGTACAAAACAATCACATGAAAGAATCGCAGTCAATTGCGGGGACCAACGAATTGCCGACTGTAAGTGTATAAAATATATTTTTTTAATTTCCAAGTCTTCTGTCTGTGCAGTGCGAGGATAGCGATACACAGTCACTGTATCAGGGTTTCGGCATATATTGACTACAACCATCTCCTCCAAACAAATTGCTAAAAAAAATATAACACTAAAATGTTTTATCTGCCTTTTCTAAAAAAAAATGCAAACATCTTTTGTTATCAGCCACAGAACGCTTACATATAGGGAACACGCTCGTCTAAAATATAAAATACAAAGAAAAAATAAATCGGAGAAATTTATCAAACTCAAGTCCCTCTGATAATGATTTATAATGGGTCAGTAATTAATCATGCCTTCAATTTTACACAATTTCAGACTTGCTAAACGTGAGTTACTAATATTAACAAAGATCATAAGACTGGAATAACTTTACAAGTCTATACCAACCTCGCATATTGTAAATACGAACAGAAATAACTGTAACATACAAAAATTGAATCCACACCAACACTTACCCCACCCATGCCCATCGGGGGTCCACCTTGTGGGGGCCCCCACTGCCCAGGGGGTCCATCCCCCATCTTGCCAGAGTCACGTGGTTCAGCTTTCTTAATTTCGACCTGTGTGACAACCAGAGAACAATTAGTTTACTGCTACCACAGTGCCAGGAGCCAAGGCGCACCACAACAGAGCAACATTTCCACGGCATCAAATGCAATGTAACGTATCTCAAAACAGATATCTTAAGCACTGCATTAAATCCACAATTTTAAAAATGGCACAAAAAATGCAGTTTGTTATCCAAATAGAGTTTAAATTTTAAGCACTGGTGTGGTGCTACCGTCTCCCCAACATCATGCAAAGCCTTTAACGAGGACTCCACTCTCCACGACTTATGCTACTGGCCTCTTTTACCTACTCCTGAACCATTCTTCTCCCCTAAAACTAACATAAAACTTAACTTACGAGTACAAAGCTATCTAGAGTTAATACTATTTATTAATAAATTTGCATAAAAACCCCCCACATGAAAATATATTCAGTAGTCATTAAATTTTACATCAAACCGAAGTTGTTTCTGAACCTAACATATATACAACAAAATTTAAGGTTTAGGTGTCAAAGATGAACAGGTTGTCCAAGAAACTGCTACTATGTAACACTACATGTTAAGTTACAGTTCAAATTCAATTCCAATAAACCAGTTTCGTGGTCTCCCTGTACACCCATTATCGACATTTTGCTATTCTACACAATGGACCCCCAAATCCAAAACAATCAAGTACCTTCTGCCACACACGGACATTCAAATATGTCAGTTTTCACATAATTTATATGTGGTTCAGAAATGCCCCCTTATAAACTAACATGCTGGCCAATAAATAAATAAATACTGCCTAAATTTCCTGAATATGTACCAACTTCATAGCTTATATTACATTTAATACATTAAATAATATGCAGAGGCAATGAAGAATTCTGGCAACCAGGAAAACAAGCAGGGCATGTCCAAAAGAAATGTATAGTTCAATTCAAAAATTTTCCAATCTAACATGAACCTTTACTAAAAAGAATGTTGCAGGAAGGATTTCACGGTTTCCATTAAATCCAATTTATTACGTAATTGTGGAGCTAAAATATACTACTGCACACCACTGGGTGAAAAGCGACAGGACAACTCATCCTCCGGCACTGGATTGACTCAAAGGCTGTCAACAGAACGACTTCGCGAAGTTACATCCAAGGTTCGCTTCCGGGACGGATAACAAATTCTACTCGCACCCAAAATTAAAACAAAAACAGGGCTGTTGCTACTACGAAATTATGGTGACACGTGCAAGGACTCTTCCAACTCAAGAGAATTTACAAATACCACACACTATATTAATAAATATTTTGAATTATCAGAACAATCTATGAAGTTTTGAAAAAAAAATAATAACTCCAAAAAAAATCACATGCACGACACAACTCCATCCAAGCACACGAACTTTCACAATTCTCTTTTCCTGTCACAAACCCACACACCAAGCCATGTGTAACTGCGGTATTACGTGGATCAGCGAGGCGAGGCGAGGTGTGCATGTTCTGCAATATATGAGTACTAGTGGCATGTGTTCAAAATCTTTCACAGTTAATATAAAACCAAAAATAATTCAAGAGATAAAAGAAACTGGAAATCGCCCTGCTGATAAAATATACGATTTCAGCGCAGATGTGTAAGACCAGTGGCCGACGATAAACATTTGATGCAAAGCAATGGTGGCTGAAGGCTTAAAAATATTTAGTACGCCATTTATTCAAGGACACAGGGTGTTCAAGAAAATATGGTAATGAAAACAGCTAAGTGACCACAAAAATATTCCAATCCTGCTTATGCTTGTTCATTCTGCAAGCCCCAAATTGTAGCACAGCTTTCTTAGCAATCCAAATTTCTTAATTGCCCTCATGCACATTATATTTATGAGCTATGATTTACTTAAACCAGAACCACAAGAGACGTTTTGAGAAAACGTATTGCAGCCACATGTGGTAAGCCAACCAACGTGGATATGGGGGGCCATTAATGCAAGTAAATAGGTATCAGTAGTAGCCTACTCACACACACAATACAACTCATCGCAAACATGATGCAACGACTCGGATTTTATAAATTTTAAGTAGTAGATATACATATATGATATCCCAAGACAAAGTGGACAAATCTTTGGAGGTTGTAATTAATTGATTCTGAGCAAAGAATCTTATATTTTAATATTTTCCGTCAAATCACAATTTTAATAAGATAATAAAATATTTAAAATATCATTTCACGTTCCGCATCGAATGATCGATTTACAAATTGGAACGTCTCTGTAAGAGACGGAAAATATTAAAATATTAACCTAATTCACAATATGACGCAAATATACTACCTAAAGAATCTTATATCAGAGCGTCCCATTCGTGAGCTAGTTATGAATATTCAAAGTTAAATAGTAGCAGGAGTAAACGATAGAATTGTTTAATGTGCAATTACTCTTAAATCCACAAAGAATGTTCAAACTAGTAACCTGCTGTAATTTACTAATTATTCCATAAATAACACAAGTCCTTTACAATGGTCCTATAAGTTTGTTCACGATTGTTTGCGACGATCTTCAAAGGTAAATGTATGACACCGTGCCAAACACAAGTAATGATTTGCTACCGTTCTTCCCGCAACTTCTAACGAGACCATCCTACTACAAGCATGACCCATTAATACCAAAACTCCGTAACGCATGTGAATGTGCTTGACCGAATATCTGTAACTCTGCAATAACAGAATTTAAAATATAACAAATTACTAGTTTGAACATTTATTATACATTTAAAAGTAGTTTTAAAACAAATGTACCATTTGCTGTTACTATTTAATCTGAATACCCATAATTCCGTAAGCATCGAGAATATACTGACGTAACATCCTTCGCTCAAAATCGCACTTAATTACCAATCTCCTAAGGTTTTATCACTTCTCCCCAGGACACGTATATTTACATTTACTATAATTGAAAAAAACAAATCTGACAGATAAGAAAATTCACTACAAACACCTGACCAGTTCGGGCAGGTCTTGTACTAAATTTTAGTTAAGGTCACAGATGGCCACCCTATCACATTTCTTTGCTAATCATCTTGCAATGAGCAGTAATGCCAAAAAAACGAGTCCCTATAAAGTCCACCCCAGCTAACTTGCCTCACTATATCTTGTATTTAAGAAGGACGGCACCAAAAGTTATACCTGTTTGCCATTCAGGTTGACGAAATGCTCCGCTACGCATCGATCCACTGCTTCATCGTCCTCGAAGGACAAAAATCCAAATCCTATTGTGTCACAGCAAGCAATCAAAGAGACTTCTTAAAACTTCTAAGTTTCATAACGCTGGGTTAAAACACTGCTGCCTGCCACTTTATTACTGCTGTAGAGTTATGTATCGGCTAACCTTTGGTCGCCAAATACACGTGGCTGTCGATCGACTCGATAATACTAGGAACTATTGCACTTCCAAATTTAAGTGATAAATCAAAATTATGCTATTGCACTAATCATAGTATAAAGAAGAGGGCCTAGAACAAGAAGAATTCTTCAAACTAGCCTAGATTTATGTATCTTAAAATTACATATTCTAGAATAAGCTAACTTTAACGTTTTAACTTACTGAAACCAATTACTACTACTGTGCTAGTTTCTCAATATATCTTATCAGTAGTATAACGTAGGCCAGTACTTAATTTTATTACAACTAGCATAGCTATTAATGGTTGTTAATCTTAGAATGTCATTTAATTAAACAGGAGATAAGGGAAGGATTCGTGTGAATTTTGGTAAGGTTAGTGTCTAGCTATCACTTTTGTTTTAAGATGAAAGGAATTTTTTAGTGCACTAATTTGGCAGCAGTGAACACCCCAAAGCATGAAACATCATAATAATACATTAAATACCGTGAGACGTACCTAATGAAAGACAAAACAAACACGTAAAACATAGAATTACACCCACATACATTTGGACATTCTGAAATCAATGCAACAGATTACATCTTCGCCTGAGCACCAATCAGGTGTTCAAAGCGGGTCTTCCCGTACAAAACCCCCATATCGCATGTACGATATAAGGCCAGCTGAACAGATGGGTTCCATAACAATACTAGCTGATGGTATTCAGACCAAGATGTCCCAGGCACATCCCTTCAGTGCGCTTAATAAAATGCGTTCATCTGTCCTTATTCTACCTAAGTCATACAATATTCGTCTCTTACTTACAAAGAGAACTATAAAGTATTCTATTAAAATAATTTAACAGTAACAAACCCCAATCCTCTTAATGTACTCCAAAATTACAAATATTTAATTAAATATTGTATGACAAATTAATAATTTACATTTTTAAAACATTTCAAAACCAAATTCAATAATTCTAATTGTTACCAACTGTACAAATGCTTCAAGTCACCCTTCAGGGTTTCTTCATTAAACATTCTAGAAAAATTAAAAATAATACTAATAAACGTAAGTCATACATAAAACCACATTACATCCTCAGCCCCTTGTTTTAACGCGTAACTTCCGACGGCTTTACGTTAAAAATAATGTGAAATGTATCGAATAACAAGGAAGTCGTTCAAGACTACCAATAATTTTTTACATCAATTTGTTACGTTGCAATACTGCTTTTCAGCACTTGTGTCTTCCACCTGCAATGCAATTTCAGGAAAACGAATCTGCAAATGCTTTCAATTCCTTGGCAAAGAGTAAATTAAAATTTGTTTAAAAAACCATTAATGTAAATGCATTCAAAGATTTTACTTGACCTTTAAAAAATAATATTCACATTATATAATAACCTATAAAACTCCATTATATACAACAAACATTCTTAAAAATTCAACAGCCCGCAACCCAAAACAAAAACGTAAATATTAAAATTCCAATACCACCTACATTCCTCGAAGATTACATTTCGGAAATGAACGCATACACAGTGTTAAACAAACTAAACTCAAGTCTCATTTAAACCTATACTTAAATAAAGATAACGTTATCAACAAATGCTGCGACGCACGAGTCTCATATTCACTGAAAACACCTTCAATTATTGAAAGAACCAAAATTTACCAGTTGAAACAATATCCAATATTTAAAACTAATAACATTTCCTAACTGCCAAGACTCGTTATCAGTTTTCCTGAAAATGCTGTTAACAATTTCATATCATCAAAATTTGTTTCTCATCTATGTTTATAAATATGCTAATACCACTCTATTAATTATTAACAGTAGTCCGCACGATCATCCATCATTCTTCAAATAAATCTCTCTCGTTTAAACTGACTAACCTTCAATATAAACCTGAAACTTCAGAGGGAAGAAAAACATTCAAAGACTTCATGACATGTACGGAGGGTGGAAAAGGGCATTTAACGCAAGTACATATCACAAGTGAACACCTCTGCTAGAAGGTAATGCATTGAAGTAGAAAATGTGTATTATATAATTTCCATATCCCTACAAACAAAGGATCTTTTGTTTATCAACAACGATTCTGACGTGTTGAGACTAGTCATGGACGAATTCTTCGCTGTGGTACCAGGCGTATACTTTTGACACGACGCACGGAATTGGACACGAGTCATTTCAATGTTATGAGGTCGCTGTCGGTGCTCCAGCAAAAAACTGACACCCAGCTTTTTGATCCATAATTAGTCATTTTACCAAATGGGCGACCTCAGTATGAAACTCGACTTTGCAACCTTGTCTACCCTGTAACTATCCTTACGACATAAAGCAGATGTTTGATTAAAGAATGATATGCGAACCACTGTTTTGGCAGATAATAAATTCTTCCCCACTCACCTCTTGACTTCTTCTTCTCCTGGTCGTACATTATGACAACCTCCATCACTTTCCCAAATCTTGTAAAATACGTCCGAAGGTCCGTCTCTGTGATGTTGGACGGAAGTCCACCTAGAAATACTTTAGGGTAGCTATTGCTGCGCTTTGGCTTCTGCAGACTTCGTGGATTGCATGGCTTTGGATCAATCTTCACATTAAAAAAAAAAAAAATGTTAACGCTCGTCACGTAAGATGACACCGGTCATAAAAGCATGCAAGTGCTATCTGTGAGGAGGAAAGTCTCTGCGATGTAATCAGACAACCGAGGAAAGTGTTGGGGCAAGACGGTAACGAAAAATCAGACTTTAACAAAGCCACGTATCAAAGATGATACATAATTTGTAAAGTGAAAGTAAAACTTAAATACAAAAAATGGCATAGTTTTGTTATATCTATCCAAATTAACAAAAGCTTAAATTCATACTTCTCTGGAATGATCACGAAGCATACACCAAAAAAATCAAACAAGGCCATACGGTTGGTCATCTGAATACGCATAATAGCAAACATACAATCTTCATGATGAACCACCTTGGACAACTTGGAATAAAATATTAATGTCAATAAAGGAAGATAATTTACTTCTTACCGTTCGCCCATCCAACTGATGTGGTCCATTTTGTAACACCAATGAAACATTGGCAGGGTCAGAAAATGTAACAAAACCAAAACCTCGTGATCGACCAGACTCACTATTTTTCATAACGACGCAGTCGATCACCTCACCATAGCGTGAGAAATACCGTTGCAGAGTCTCTAGAATCAAAAGCATAAAACATACATGGCAAAAGGATTCACACATAAACTACAAAAAGATATTTTCTTAGACGAACTTTAAATAAAAGTTTAATTCTTAAAATAATGCATAGTGTGGAACAACTAACGATATGCTTCACACTTCAAAATACAGAACACCATTTTGCATGTGGGGTGGAGATGAAATGGGCAGTGTCTGATAACACAACATGAAAATTGGATACGTGATCGAGCCATTTCAGTAAAATAACTTTCTCCTTAAGACAAAGTTCTGAATATTATCCAAACTTTTCTGTCTGGGCTTTGCAGTAGCTACATTCAATTTCCCAACAAAAAATTCTGTAAACATATGTGAATTACACGGTGAGTCTATTCATTCTTAATTTACCAAACTTGCCAATATAAGGTGACGTGCATGTATCACAAGATTCCGCCTTACATTCTAACATTAATGTCAAATCCTCTCTTTATGGGACCTTAACTAACCATCCCTCTAATAAGAAATTTTGGTACTTGTTGGTTCTCGGGACACATCGCTTTAAAAATAGGTTAGGTTAATGTGTGTGGATAAATGATATATACTTGAAAGTTATTATATTTTATTTCAATAAATGACAAATTATTATATTTTATTCTGATATGCAAGAGATGTTAATTGTTAGAACGAACTAACAGATAACAACAACCGAGTATACGGGTATACTGATACACGCACAGTTTTCCGTCCAATCCAAGTCCAGATATTTGACTCTCCCATTTTGTGTCCCAATAACCGACAGGTACCGATTTGTCATTTATTGAAATAAAATATAATAACTTTCAAGTATATGTCATTTATCCACACACATTAACCTAACCTAACCTATTTTTAAATCGATGTGTCCTGATAACCCACAAGTACAGAAATTTCATTCTACAAATTTTTGGGTGCGAGGTCTATTACTCTTGATATCAGTTTCAAAGTCATCCTCCAGTATTTCATCTGGAGAGCCAATGCACCTGAGGATCTAATTCAATGAAACTCATTATTTGAAACCTTACAGAATTCAAGTAATGTTCTTGTGCATGAGCTAATAATTTTTTACAATATTCAGGGAGTGCAACAAAAATATCACTAACCTTGTGTGGTCTCCCAGCTCAAACCTCCAACAAAGAGTTTCCTAAGGAAGAAAGATATATGAAAGATCAAATTACAAAGAAACTACATTCAAAATACAGTAACAATTTTTTCAAAAATGTAACATTACACAATGCCAAAAAAGTGAGCAATGTTATAATTATGTAAAGTGAGGATGGACGGCACACTGAAGGTAAGCAATAATGTGACAGAAAAAAAACCGATCTCAGTGTAAGGGTCAGTATCAGTTTCCTAACAGTACGAATAATAACTGCAGACTAGACAGCATAGGATGTGACATGCAACCACTGTTTCACTGTGACAGCATCTTGGTTTGAGCCTTTTAATTAACTCAACTTCAAGAAGTCTCACAAGTTACAGAATCCTTGCAGTCTCCCCCAAAAACTGTTCGATGTTGTCTGATAAACTGTCATGGGCAACACCTTAACTGTTTTTCCTCAATACGAGGAGACTAGAAATACTAACTCGGCAATTTGTGGTGAGTTTTGCCTTCCACAGCCTTGGTCCATATCTCCCTTCACCCTAAACAAAAAAACAAAATGTTAAACAGATAAGTGCCTGACACAAGTCAATTTGCACTCACTTTTGCCAATGTTTAATGTTACATTAATGAAGAATAAATTTGTTTGCAGTTATGGTAACTAATTATTACTGTTAACAAATCTGAAGAGTTAAAGGGTTAGGGTTTCGTTAGAAGCCTCTCCTATCTTTATATCAATTTCACTTCCACATTACACAAAGTTCTCAGAACAGAATTTACATCAGTATTAAGTTTTAAAAGTTTTTATTTCAAAATGTTCCTACATTGAGTTGAAGCCAATCACACCAACCTATCCCACTACAAAATCGCAGTATGTCGTTTGGGGGGGGGGGGCCCCCTTCACTTGGATAAGATACATTATAGATTGGTGATTCCATCCAAGCTCAAAGAGCATTTTCAGCAAATCCATGTTACTTACTTGATATTAAAAGTTGCTGAAAATGGTGTCCTCCATCACCCTAGTACATTTTACAGGAACATATTCCGTGACTTCACATACCCAGTTTACATTTCATCGTAACCCATTCCCATTTAATGCACACTTCAAGGATTCTTTAGTAAGAAAGTTGACTTTATACCTGAGCAATCACCGCAACCTACGTTCCATACTTTAAAACTTAACATAACCTGGTAAAATCTAAAAAACTCCATGGAGCAGAATCCTTTTTGAGAAATTAAAAGTTACCAGGTAGTAAAACAATTCTCTGCCTTTTACAGAAGCAGAAAGTTCAGTAACATGTACACTACAACATGCCACTCCCTGTCTGAAGACTGATGTATCAGATTACACCCTCCCAGCCTTTATCATCCATGCACTGCAGCTTACATGTGACCCAGATAATAGTGTAATGTGCTAACATACCTCTATATATCGCTAACCCCAGGCCTAAAAGTCTGGCAGGCTGACCCACAGTATGGGGATTTAAACTCCCTATTCCTTATGAAAAAGGTCATCATCATAACCAAGTCTATCCTTTCCTGAGTCTATATTCTGTATGTTTTTTTTACAGCCCATTGTAAACTCAAATGGCATCATATAAATGTTTATCCAAAAACTATATTAAGCATATCAAGTGTACACGCTTAATAAACCCAAGTTCATATACAGTTTTCGTAACTGAACCATGGGATTCCCTAAAATCGGTGAATACAAGACATGCTGACCCATTATATTCCTTGGCATTTGTTAGATACAGAATATGACCAACAGTTCACTTACCAGTATTGTGCTGCACCACACCATCAAGCTGTTTTTTTCAGTCCTACACTATATTCATAATCTACTCTGCAAACTATCCATGCAACTACAGTGCAAGACCAAGCAATATGCCAAGGAAAAGCATCATTTTCATACCAGTTTTGCCATATTTATTTTTGGTTTCCTTTGCAGCATTTTAATTACTAATTTTAGCAATAAATAATAGAATTAGTGAACAATGAAATCATTTGAGGAAATTGGTAGTGGCCTAATTTGCAGACCGACAACTGGAGGGACCAACTAAAAGACCACAAAACTCAAAATAGCCGGTCTTGGGGCCGTTTGAAACCGGAATCTACAAAATAATCGAAAGTCCAGGCCCAATATTTCGCACTTCTTCGTATTCGGAAGGTCCCTGCATCAAATTTCGGTTCGGAGACCGGCTATCCAGTTTTCGTTCTGGTTCTCAATCACTCCTGGCCGGGAGAATACCTTAACTTTGGAATAGCCAGCTTCCTTTCCGGGGCTCTTCATAGTCACTACAATATTGTATTTCCTATTACTGTACCTTACTGGAAAAATGTGTTCTAGTCATTATGGGATATTATTCTACGTAACAGTATTTTGATATATTATCTTACGAACACAAATTCGGAAACAGGTGAAACTACGTGCTCAAGGAACTGTGTAAAACACCTTCCACGCACCCCAGAATAAACACACTAACCGGCATCGGCGTCGGTACACAGCATGTTGCTAGTACAATATACTGCAAAAACATGCACAATTTAATTTTATTGGCGTTACACTATATCACAAGCTACAAACAGCGCCTTTAATTTTCAATCTGCAAGCGCAGGCAATTCTACCACTAAAAATATTTTCCCCCCACATCATGGCCAAATCACACAACTCGATAAGCTATTCATATGCTTTCATCTTACACCTAAAGACATATCTGTATCTGCATAACTTACCCTTTGTCATCGTTATCCATTTCCGTTTTAACTCTCATTTTATACTGTTTATATTTTAAATTTACAATATTCCACAATATTCTACAACGCTTCCCTAATTCTACAACGCTTCTGACCAAAGGGCATACACAGCTACAAACAAGGGTTTCAACTTCTCAATTCCGCCTACGTCATTACTACGTCTGCTATTCAGAGTTTTTATTTATGAATAAAATTAATCCCAATATAAATATCTTACTTCGAGAAGTATAAATATCAACATATAATATTACAAATTATAATAAGGAAGTAACGAAATCCAGCTTTTCAACAACGTAATGAATTAATACATGAAAGCAACAACATAGAAACTGTTATATTGATTTCCACTCAAATTAATTATTTTCTTTTCAACTTTTTCAATGTGTTCTTAAAATACTACATAACTGGACGCATAATTTCAATTATTATTATCTTAAAACATACGATAATAATTAATAAATAATCATATCAATTTTTCAGGAGCATTAAAATCATAACACTGATAAGTTGGTAACATCCATACACCTACAAAACTCAAAGTTGTTGACTTGTACTATTCTGCCATCTAGCATCAAGAGTCATAAGTGATGGTAGCGATAGTTCAACCGGTATTTCTTCTCTCTCCTTTGCCACAGACTTTTTAAACTAAACCCTGCAAGGTTTACTGTTTACTGCGTTGATGACGATTTAATCTCTAAAACCAGTTCGTCTAACTACAATTAAATGTCAATGGCTGTCAATGAAAACTACAAGGTTAAAGCAACTACAAGAATAACATATTTAAAAGGCTAATGACTGTTTTGATTTTGTAATAACTGATATGACAGACTTTGTATACAAACTGCCTCGGACTCTTTTTTTTTGCCAATGGCTTGTATGCCAGAAATGGTGGGACATTCTTATCTAGAGTTTCAGGTTTTACATAACTTTCAGTACGAACACGGGCTCTTCATTTTATCGCGCGAATTTGAAACGAAATTAAGAATGTAATTTCCTGTGATTACGAAGAATATATATATTATATTGACTGAACATTTTCTTCCGTACGACTTCCAATGATTGTGCGGCTTACAGTTGAGCAAATGTTTTGGTAGCAGATTCGTATACCACCTACGCGCCTGTGAGTTTTTCGTCAGTTTGTAAACCAATTCATAACAATAACCCTTGCCCAACACTTTGGAAAATTCTGCCATTAAAGGAATTCGCAAGGACGACTGAAGACTTGGGGGAGTAATTCCTGTAAAATATAATATTCGTCGGAAAAAGGTAAAAATACTTCTGGAATTCAACCAAAACCATGTGGTTTATTGCAGATGTCTGTGGCATTTATTTTTGCGTTGTTGTTTTTTTTCTGATTGTAAATTTACTTTGCTTCGAGATTTGAATGAAGACTTTTTGTGCAGGAAAACCTTGGACTTGCTACTGCATGGTTCTGGCATCTAGCGGTGATGGCATGAAACAGTATCTGTTACTACTTGTCTTGCATCGATGCAGGGTGGAAGCATTTTTGTAAAATAATGGTTAATTGTAAGTGGTTTCATTGTTGTAATTTTATCTTACCATCTATGTCATTGAGTGTATTAAAAGAAGCGAAGTGAAGTGTCTTCAAGGTTAAAAGATGTTCTTCTGTATTGTATATGAGCGTGCCGTGCCATTAGTTTAAATGCGCATGCCTGAGTTTCAAGCACTGGTAGTTCGTAGTGCAGGACCAAGCGTATAAGCAATTGGCGCAAAGTACAAGAATGCTGTCCTTGGCTAAATATACACAGTCTGCATCGTTGAACTGCATTATTTCGTAATTTTTGTAATGTTACAGTCGCTTAAAGCTATAAATAATGTTCAATTGAAATGTCGTTCGCAGACTAGTCTGACGACAGTCGCGGTGCTTGAGTTGTTCAGAGACGAAGGTCAACGTGCGGAAAGAATAAAGTCATCTCAATTCGGAGTAAAGTGTGTTTGTGTCGTGTTTTGTTTTTCCAAGTGTTGACTGTACATGCTACGTCAGATCTTGAGTCGGAAAAGAGAGTTCGTTCACTGTTACCACATGGCTCCAAGCTGGAGGTGGGAAATACGTAATTCTACTGACCCAGCGGCTATGAGAATTTATCAATGTAGCGTGTGCGAAGATGTCATCGCCGTCGCCACAACACTTCCACCGTCTGCGAACGTATGCATTACTTCGTCGTCGTGGCTCACTGCGACAACTGGCAGCTTCTCTGCCTTCCCACATCTCAGATGCTGACACTTCGGCGCTGTCTCCTACCGCTGAGGTACCCAGCGGTGGTACCTGTGGCCATGTTGTCGGCTCCAAGACGACGCCGGGGTATCCAAGCCACCCTGGGGGTGCTAGTAGGCTTGGTGACAGGTATTTTTTTTACATCTCGTCTACGTATTGGGCTTGTTCTCGTCAGTGATGGTGGTGCAAACGGAACTTGTTCTGGTCCTGGTGAATCGTGGTCATTGCCTACAAACCCAGAAAAAATCACGCGTCGCAAGTATGACGATGACGCTCTGAAGATTATTGGAATGACAGTCCCGGGTGAATCTGTACATAATTCAAGGAAAACGCTGCTATTTGTGGGAGTCATGACGGCCCAGAAGTATTTAGCTACGCGGGCCCGAGCTGTTTATGAAACGTGGGGCCGGGAAATTCCTGGTCGAATCGCTTTCTTCACTTCTGCTACGTCGGAGGCCCCTTCGAACAGACCTGATCTGCCATTAGTGCGCCTGAGAGGTGTGGATGACTCGTACCCACCGCAGAAGAAATCATTTCTCATGCTCCAGTACATGTGGGAACGGTACGGCGACAGATTTGAATGGTTTCTGAGAGCTGACGATGACGTTTACGTACGACCTGACAGGTAAGAACAACCATAACGATCACAAACCTTTACCAGATCATGACATTTCAGGTTCCCAAGGCTGCTAGCATGAAGATGAATGTCTTCTGGGATGTTTCGTCGTAGAAGTTTACCGTTTTCTCAGAAGTTTTTACTGCCTCCATCGTCAGGGCGATCACCATGATGATGGAGGCAGTAAGGACCTCTAAAAGCCGGTAAACGTCTACCTCACTACACAGACATCCGTCTTCATCTATTCTCCTTCTGGTTAACTCCGGGATACATTTGTTTCTGTGACAGGCTGGAAAGACTCCTACGTTCGGTTCACAGCCGGAAGCCACAGTTTATCGGTCAGGCCGGGCGAGGTAACCAGGAAGAGTTTGGCTTACTCAGCTTGGAGTACGACGAGAACTTCTGTATGGGAGGTCCCGGGGTTCTGCTCAGCAGAGAGACACTGGCTCGTGTCGCCCCCCACGTCAAAACGTGCCTTCACAACAT